TTAACTTAACGAAAGAACGTTGTGAAATGTTTTTTCTAAGTAATTATAATTAAAAAAACATTTTCGCAACATTTTTTTATTATAGGACTGGATCGGACCAAAATAACTGGTCTGATCTGGTCTGATCCTGGATTCTCCTTTTAATATAAATCAGGTCGGACCAAAATAAACTAATTTTTTGGTTTAATCCTAGGTTACTCCCCAACCTGGACCAATTCGGATCATTTAGTGCTTTAGCCATTAGCATGTGTATTGTGTGCAGTCCTATTCTTGAGGTTACTACTATACTTTGGGAGACTTTCTGTCCAAATGGTCACTTCACGATACCGCTTAAGATCAGTAATGGCTAGATAGTCATTCTAGATGGTAAAGCTGAAAATGCAATGTCTTAGTGGTAATTTGACCTTCTGTTAGGTCTTAGACCAACCAAAGTATTCATACACAAAACAGATAGCATGGTTATGAGGTTTGATTCCCCACTTTTTGGGTTCTGGTTAGTGATTTTTGGTAGTTAATACCCACCATAAGGGGTGATCCTGAACAGATGCCTGCTACTTTCTGTCTGAATGGTTACTACAAAGTATACATTTGGTGTAGTGTTGTCACAGGACAATGTCTGGGATATGTTACACAAAAAAGAAATGATAATCCCTCAAAATTTTTCTATGATAACTTTGTTTGATATTTAGCAAAAATGTTTAGCATCCAATTATGTATAAATATATATAATTTTTATAGAGTTTTTAAGTTACAAAAGAGTACAGACAGAGCGCGGACATGTCTGAAACAACCAAAAAAAGCTTTAGATATCAAAAATGTATAACACTGACTTAGGGTAAATAACTGTACTATTAGTGCTGAGTAATCACAGGCTATAATAGTCTTTGAGTGAGACTTCGTACCTAAAATGGTGGTATAGAAGGGTACTAAATAGTTGATGTTACCTGTTAAAAGTCCTCCATGAAAGTAGGTGCTCTCTAAAGGTTGTAAAATAAATTGAGTACCAGTATCATGCAATGGGTTAAAGATGAGTAGGCGGCGTATTTCTAGCTTTAGATCAGCCTTAAAAGTGGTCTAATGGGAAATATTCTCATATACAGTGCTGTTATTTGAGGAATTACCATATATAGCAGGCCATAGTATCCCAGGTATCTTGCAAAAATCGGAGTTTGATCCTGTACCTCCGGGTACTAAACAAAGCCTAAAAATTCCATTTTTTGCAAATATCTTATGATATACCAGTTCAATTTGAACGATCTTTTTTTATTTGAAGAGCTCAATAAGAGCTATTAAGGGTAGAGTATATATCAATTATTTTTTATATGTAGCGGGTGGCAAATTATTTTACTATAGGTTTGCCGATCATTTGTTTATATTTTAAATATATAACTGATACTAACAACCAATAAAATTCAAGATTGCCTAATCGCAAAAACATATATGCCTAGTCGCAACTTCATTAGATGTTTTTTAAGATTTTTTTTATAAAAGAAGTTTTTTTAATTAAAAAAATAAAAGTTCAAAATTGTGGCTTTCTAACGATATAAATTTTATCCATTTATGTTAAGTATTACAAAAGTTTATATTGTACAGAAAATAGTGCTACTATGTAATAAGGAATTTGACAAGTCGATCTATATGAAGTATCACGTGATACACTCTACCTTTAAACAAAAAAAAGATGGCTCAAATCTGATCACTAGATCACGAGATAATTGTAAAATATCGGGTACTATACAATTCTATGAAATTTTTCAAGGGGATACTATGCATAGAGGGGTACTATGATTCACGATATACGGTAAGTATTTGGTATAATGTTCACCCCTTGGGAATGATAGGATATTAGCCCAAGGATACCTTAAAAGAGGTAGAGGAAGGCTTGGCCATAAACATTAGCAAAGTAAAAAGATAAAACTTGTTAAGGCAACACAACCATCTTTTCTGGCTGATTATTCGATATATTCTTAAGGATCTCAATTTAAAAGTTGAATTGGTCAAAGTTCCTGCTCATAGTGATTATGCACTCAATATTCAAGCTGATAATCTGGCAAAAGCCGTGTATACAAGTCTTCAACTCACCTTTCCACCATTGGTACTTCATCATGCTCCATGTATATTGGTCTTTAATTCTTTACCTATTAATATGAATATTCGTCATTTCATAAGTACTATATATAGGAGAAGTTCAAAATCTCTTGTCCTTCTGCTCATTGGCACATTTCACTGCGCTTGGCTTTTTGACTGGGCTGGTATACACCTTTGCTTTTTCCAAATAAAAGGCTTCACTTCGCACAAGAATGGTCGTCCTGAATTCTGGATCTTCTATATTAAGCTCCTATTAGATATAGCATCAGTAATTTTTTTGGGATGCGGATCCCTAGGGATTCCAAAAATCTCATAATTAGTAAGGATCCCTAGGGATCCTCCCCCACCAGCGAGGATTCCTTATTTCAAAAACTTCTATGGAATCCTTAAGGATCATAATTTAGTATTAAGGAATCCTTAAGGATTATTTTTTTAATTATTTATTATGAATTTACAAATTTAACAATTAATTGTATAATTGTAATATCTATATAGTATATTTATCAATCGTTTTATTTATTATTTATTAATTAATTATAACATTTAAATAGCATATTTAACAATTTAATTTAAATAAAATAAAGAATATAAAAAATAAAAATTAATCCCTAATGTAATTTAAAATTATTCTTTTTGATTGACAGAAAGAGTAAAAGGAACATCATTATCCATCTGTTGATGTTTATGACTTTGATTTTCAGTATCACTATCATTCTCGTAATATCTCTTATGATGTTCTTTTAACCTATTATCTAAATCTTCTTCAAAAGAATCACTGAGAGAATAAGAATCTTCAGAACTAACATAATCTTTACAGAATTCTACTTGTCTAATTGGTTTGGTTGTATCTGCAGTTATTTCTGCCGAATTACAAATACAATCCTATAAAAATTTAAAATACTATGATTAATAATTATACTGTAAATAAATAAAAATAAATAAAAATAATATACAATAAGACGTATTAAATACTAACCCAATACATATTAAAACGGTTGCGAAGAGTATCATCACCAACAGAAATTTTTGGATGTCTTAGATTTAACATAATTTCACAGACAGCTAAAGTAAAAGCCGTATCTCTTTTGGTAATACTTTTTTTTCCCCATGCTTTTTTCTTGATCGCTTCAATATATGGAAGAATATTGTCATCATCCATCTCAAATAAGCATTTGAATGCTTCTTTTGTTTTATTGGAGTTTTTAAATGCTTGAATATCATCGGCTTTTGCAGAAGTATTGATACGGGATAAATTCTGTTCACCAAATATATCAAACATTGCAGCCTGGACATCTTTTGCCTTGTCACACCGGCGACTTTTGATTACTTCACGGCACTATTGAAATATTGAAATAAATATGTTAATAATAATTAAATTATTATTAACAAATAAACATAATTGGAGTAATTAACAAAGGAACAATACGTCCTGTATAAAAATGGACCCATTGAAATCCATACTGTTTAATATATCCCGGTTTCTCTTGCTAAAGAATTACTTCAAAACATTTTTTGAATTCTAATTCATCAGGATAAAGGCCAAGAAGAGGAAGTTGTGTTTTACATATTCTTGATGACAAATTCTAAAGACAGTGAATTAGTAGTAATAACGATTTTTACATGAATATAATATTAGAATTTACCTTCCAATAAGAATCATCAGGAGTAATTAATTGCTCAATTTTTTAAGAAAGATATCCTATTTTTTCACAAATTTCTTTTCGGAATGATTATTGCGCAGCTTTATTTTCATGAATTGCTTTATATATTTCCTTATTTTGCTCTAATACCCGTTTTACACCACAAATAATCTGTTGGTTAAATACTGTAAATGAATATATTATAAAAGAAAAAAATATTAATAAATAATAATAAACTACACAGATTTTATTTTCCATACCGGTATCTATTGATAGTGAAACAGTTGTACTTGAAGAAGTATTGACAAAAGTTGCAAGTGCAGCTTCATCAGTGATATCATTGGAATCATCTGGTTTATCGTGTGTTTCTGAGATTTTTTCATTATTAACTTGTTCAGGAACAGGATTTTTCTTTTTATTTTTTTTCTGTCGTATTGAAGTTTTTGTAGTTTTAACTACATAATCAAAATTTTTTAATATAATTATATTTAACAATAGTATCGATATGTAAAGTTCAGTCAACTTACCCCTAGCAGCTAACCTTGCTGCAATTTTATCTGCTTCACTTACTACAGTTTCTACTGCTTCAGAATCAATTGCAATAGAAGATTCTTGAAGGTTTTTACTTCTTAAAACTCTTCGATTAGACGCTAAATAATTATAAAGAAATGCGTTATTAATAAAATAAATTAAAAAATGCTAAATAATTTAAAGAAACGCGTTAAAAAAATAAATTAAAAAATGCTAAATAATTATAAAGAAACGCGTTAAAAAAATAAATTAAGAAACATTAAATAATTATAAAGAAACGTATTAAAAAAATAAATTAAAACAACTTTTTAAAAAAGTTCGCTTATATTATTATTTACCTTTTACTTCGGCCATAATAAAATTCCGTAATTATTCTTGGATACAATGAATTCGTTTGAAAACTTTGATAATAGTTCAAGTAATAGGTCGTGGAAAAGAAAATAGTTAAATGATATAATGTTTGAAATTATATAATTTTACTGATTAAATGACGTAAGATAAGAATATGTATGATTTAATAATCCAAAGTGGCTTATTAAAATTTCATTCTATGATTACATTTTTTGTAATTAAAAATGTATAATTGTACCCTTTGTAAAAGATATTTCTCACGAAGAACTGATATAGCACAACACTATAATAAGAATCATCCATATTTCAAACATTCGTACACGTTGAATTGGATTCAAGATAAAAGGCAACTGGATTTTACGTCTATATCATTACCAACAGTTCTTAATAATGATATCTGGAATGATATTGAAAGATTTGGTAATTTTTCACAAGATTCAAGTATTAACAATAGAAAGGTTAATGAGGTAATTCTTTGTATATCTATTCGTCATTTTTTACTAGACTAATTCCTAACTTTAAATCTATTCAAATAAATCAAGATCAAACAAGTATTTGAACATAACGAAATAGATGACTATATAACCGGTGAAAATAATACTAATGAATATAATTGTAATTATGCTAAGGATGATAATTATGCTAATGAAGATGAAGATGTTGATGCTGGCGAAGACGAAGATGATAATGATGCTGACAAAGATGAAGATGGTGCTGCTGATGAAGATGATGATAATGCTGACGAAGATGAGGATGGTGCTGCTGATGAATATGAATATTATGATGCTGACGAAGATGAAGATGGTGCTGCTGATGAACATGAATATTATGATGAAAATGAAGTTAAGAATGGTGACAATATTGATGATAATGGAGGTGAGAAATATAATGAAGTTGAGATCGATGAATTCATCTGGCTAAAAGACAGTAAAAGCAATTGTTCTGAAAATTCTTCGGGATCTAATAAAGGTTCTTATGGCGTGGGACTATCAAATGCATATGAGATCTTAAATAGTAAAACTGAACCAAAACAGTCTTTATGGCCAAGTGAAACATATAGGGAATTCATGACAGCTGTAACACAATACCATCTTTCGGATGCAGCTGCTGACTCTATGTTGCGTATAATTCGAAAAAGTTGTACTGAAACTCTTCCTAGTTCTACACGAAAAGGTAGAATGTATATAGATCAAATGGATATTAAAAATTTTAATATTAAAACAAAAAATTTGTGTGAATTTGAAGGAAAAATCTACAAATTTCAGTATCGGCCAATTTTTGATGCAATCAAAAGTCTTGTATCAAATACTGATTTAAGTAAAGATTTTCTTTTTGATTATAATGAACAATGGGAACCTAACAAAGTAAGTAAAGTTGTATACCATTTTGATTCTCTGATTCTTCATTATTCCCATTGACTAATACTGATTTGTATTTAAGAATGGAACTTTAGTGCGTATTTATTCTGAACAGAATACTGCAAACTGGTGGCGTGAAAGACAAAATCCATTTAGCAAGATTCTGGCCGTTATGATATATACTGATGGGACAACACTTGATTCTTTAGGAAAACAATCGGAATATCCTATTTTTTTAACTTTAGGCAATATTCCGAACTGGCGTCGAAATTTTCCTGACGCTAAAGTCTTAATTGAATTTCTTCAACATTTAACTACTCGAAATAATAAATTAAGAGAATCGAAAGAATTTAGACAAATGCAACGGAAATTAGAACAATGTGCTTTAAAAATTTTATTGGAACAACTTCTTCAAAATGATAGTATTTATTTAGCAATAAATGGAACCGTTGAACATTTTACTCCTTATTTGTCTACTATACTTGCAGATATGTTGGAAGCACAAAATATTTGTTGTACTTACAAGTCATATCGTGCAAAATATCCTTGCTATAAATGTCTTACGCCTGGCGATAAACTGAATAATATGCATATTGAACAGAATTCAATAATTTTACGAACACATGAAAATATGCGTGAGGCTGTAATTTCTCACAATGCTGCAGAATACTCCATTCATGACCACGAAAATTTTTTTTGGAATTTCAGGTATATTGTAAATCATATTTTATTGTAATTACTATTTAATTAAGCATTTATTTTATTTAATACTAGAATGACAAATATTTATGATGCAGTAGCCATGGATCGTATGCATCTTCAGGAAATTGGACTATTTCCATATATGCTTAATTTTACAAGAGATATGATTATGCAGCAATGTGGCAATAAAATTCTCACTAAAATGGATAATAGATTAGCTAATATCACACCGTTTAATGGTTTAAAAATATTATCAAAAGGATATCAGCGCAGAATAAAATTTACAGGAGCTGAAATGCGAGATGTAATGAAAATTATTATATTCGTAATTGATGAACTCTATACAGTTGATGATAAAAATGCAGCTTCAATTTCTTTTATTCCATACATGACGCTTATTGATTGTTATATTAAATTTGTTAAGATGTATATAACGTCAAGAAAGGAACAATTCAGTGATGAAGATGATTTGAGAATTTTTGAGGTAATTACAATTTATACCATATAATATAAACTCTATATTTTAATTAATTCAATGAAATTTTTATTAAAGAATGAGATAATTGACTGGACACGAGCTTTTGTAAAATTATTTAAACGATTTTCTACTAGCAGCCTTCAATTACCAAAACTTCATATGTGGAGATATCACACAATTCATACTATTCAAAGTTATGGTACAATAAATGGGCTAACTACCAAAACATACGAGACATTACACAAAAACTGGGTAAAAAACCCGTATAGAATGACAAATAAAAAAAATATTTTAGATCAAATGTTTAAAACGGTAAAATTACTTTATTTTATAATTTTAATTTATTTTATTAATTAAAATACTAATATTATTTTATTTTTTAATCTTTAGATTCGCCGGCAAACAATTATATCAATTCCAAAAAAAATCTTTAAATCAAAATTAGAAATTATGAAGTCATTACTTTGGGAATTGCCAATTAGTGAATTACAATCTCTTCAGATAAAACTTGAACATGAAAAGATTGTAGATGACTTGTGCATTGAAGGAATGAATCATTTAATTAATTGCTTAGACCATTATTTAGACGAAAAATCTAATGTATCTGAAAGTGAAGATATTTATTTGAAAATCTATGCTACTGGGATTTTATCAAATAACGAAATTATATATGCAACTAGCAAGTTTCATGGTCATGCAAGATTTAGTGAAGTTGCAATTGCGATGGAAGATGCAGATTACTTGACTGATGATGGAATATGTTATGGCAAAGTAAATTTATATAAATATACATATTATTTTATTTATTTTTTTGTATTATTAATTAATGAAATAATTTATATTGCAAGTATTAATATTAGCAGAAATTTCATTTCTTCAAAACCATCCTATCTTACCTATCGTACTAGTACATTGGTATGATTATTATTCCAAACGGCATCCTATCAAGTATGAATGTCCTCATATGAAATTTGTAAATAAATATGATGTAATTTTTTTTAATTCTATTGTAGGTTTAGCATATGTAGTAAAGAGATTTGATTTTGAAAATGAATTTTTTGTCAATAAATTTATTTTTTAGTAGTTATTTGTTAATAAATAATAATAATAAAATTATTTTAATTAATATAAAAACTTTATTTGTAAATTTATTTTTCAGTTGTTTAATTATTATAAATAAATTCTTAAAAATTTAAAATTAGGGATTCCTTGAAGATTTTATTTTTAGGAATCTTTAAGGATCTGGCAATTTATAGAATCCTTAGGGATCTTTATAATTCGTCTAAGGATTTTTAAGGATTCTATAAATTGCCGGATCCTTAAGGATTCTATAACAATTTAAGAAATCCCTAGGGATCCACGTCCTAAAAAATTTACTGATGTATTGCCTACTTTAACTACTTTGCAATAATGAAAACCCTACTTATATTCTTCAGACTGATTTTGCCCACAATGCAATTCTGCTCCTGAAGATATTAATCTTTTTTGGACTTATCCTTATATTCTTTCTAATCTTAACCCATGCTTAACTTATCGCAATAAAATATTGAAATTTTAAAATGCTTGTATTGCTTTCTTTTCCTCTTTAACATCTTTACCAGCCTCGTTTCATAATGAATTTTCAATTCTGGATTGTTGAAACTATAATGCTCCTTCTCAATCTTGCTTATGGCTTACTAGGGAATTGCTTCCTACCTACCTGACGACATTTCTTAAAAAATATTTTTCTGTTTCTATCATTTACAAACATATTTCTCCTCTTCTTAACGATTTTCAAGTTGAACTATATGGTGAAATTTGGCTTTGTCATAATGTACTTTTTCATGTCTAAGAAGAATCTCAAGGAATTTCTGCTTCATTAAAACAACGTAGCCCTTCTTCCAATTCCTCTACTAAACTCTTTTTTCATCATCAAAACTCTTCTTTGGTGATAGTTCTTCAGAATTTCTGGATTTCTTGAATATCCTCTTCTATAATCCAAGATGGATCTTAGATTTTGCACTTGGATTTTCTATGCTGCTTAATAGTTCAACCTCTTAGAATCTCTTTCTAGTAACGGATTGGATCGGATTTTTGGATGTTAGATAGTTGATTCATACTGGCCTTCAGGTAAAGTTGGATTATGCAATTCTGTAATAGTTTAGTTTTTCTTTTCTTTAATAATTTGATTTTAGTTTAGATTTCTTTGCTTGTATGAGTCGTGAAGCTACTCTTTTTATTTTTTATTAGTTTATTTTCTTATTTTAAAATATTGTTCGATTTTGTAATATTTCAAAGTTAAAATTTTAATGAAAGATAAAGTCATAAGACTGTTTGCACAGTAAAAGGATAAAACTTCCTCTCATCCAGCTAAGCATTATAATCACTTTGCTCACCCTCATAATATTGAAAATGGTTAATCGCACCTAAATGCATCATATTAACGTTCAAATTCATAACCTAACAATAGATAGCAATCTTGTTTCCACTTCCAATGTCGCTAACCATGGAACTGAGACAATCTCAACGACAATCAACATCATCATGTTCTGATATTAATGAATTATAACACTTTGCTAATAGAATGGACGTTGTTTACCTATCTGATCCTGCCGTTTTTACAGATTGGAGAACTATCAGTGTTGCCCTAGAAAAAGTAGTTGCTGAGTTGGTCTTACTTACCACCCAATTCATATCTATAAACAGTCGTATCATCAAATTAGAGTCTATTATTACCACTCCTACTCCTCCTTCAGGTCCCTTTAATGCATCAACTTCTTTCTACATTCCTGCCTCTATGAAAGAATGGGATGATACAATTAAACCCAATAGTAATATCCTTGATATTTCTCCCTCCTTTGCAATCAACAAGTGGGTTTATACCAATTTCCCAATTGACTCCTATCCCACCTTCTAATGTTATTCCTTCCTTCCCAATTGATATGAAACAATACCTTTCTTCTCTCGCTAGCACCATTTCCTTTTTGACTGGATCTATTAATAAAGGAATCAAACAAAACAATTTCATCTTATTAGCTTGCCAGAATGGCTGAGCTAATCAATAATTTATTCCCTTTCTTTTCCCTTCTTCATCATTTTTTATCAGTGTGCAACAATGATGGACAATAACAAACATAATTTTTCTTCTCACTTCTCTCCTCTTATCAATTTTGGATAAATTAATGTTAATGGTTTAGTTTCTCCTGTGTGTCAACAACATTTATTAAATTTTTTCCTTTACTTTTCCTTTGGTGTTTTATCTTTAAATGATACCTAACTTTCTTCTTCTAATGCGAAATTTATTTTTAAAAATGAACATTATCAATATCATTTTTGGTCCTATTGGGTCTGTTCTTCTTCATCCTGCCCTCATAATGGCGTTAGCCTTTTACTTCGTTATTCTTACACAAACATGTACAGACTATCGATTCCTAGAATAGTTGTTTATTGAAATTAGATCTTTTTTTTTATCAAACAAAAATTTCTATTATCTCTTTGTATTACCCTCCTTCTGGTTTTATTCATAAAACTTTATGTAATGATCCTATTGCCAAACTTCTTTCTTGGCTTGATCATGCTTGCTCCAATAATTATCATGTAGTTATTCTGGTAATTTCAATATTGATGAAATCGCTCATTCTAACTATTCACGCAATCATTTTAGATTTTTATGTTTACTTTTCTCTAGGTATTTCCGTGACCATCAGGCTCGTTCCTCTTCTTTAACTGGCCCTGATCCTACCTTTTATTATGCTAATGGTTCTTCATGATTGGATTATATCTGGTCTTCACCTGGATTCCCTGCCCCTAGTCTTTTCTCACAAGTAGTTACCTGTCCTTCTCTTTCTGATCGCCCTTTAATTTAGGTAATATCTGTCACTGCCCTAATGGTAAAATTATTTTTAATAAAAAAGTGTATAACAAACAAATGATTATATGATGGTTATGCAATATGCCGATTATGGAAGTTTGAGACACTTTCCTAACTAATCTGTTAAAATAAATATATATACATTGATTTTTAAAAAATTAATAAGGTATTAAAATGTAATAAAAGATTAAAATTTAATGTAAAAGTCTCTGATAAAAAAAAAATGGCAATATTTGAATAAAGGAAATATATATTGATAAAAAGAATATATATTATGTATGTAGTAAATGTAAAGAAATACAATATAATGCAAGAATATATAGTAAATAAAATAAAATATACAGTGTATTATATTTAAAAATCTTGTTAAAAAATTTAAATAGAGTTTAGGATTAGTTTAAAATAGGATGATTATTAATATTATTTATAATACTCAAATATTACATTTTATTAAGTAAAAGGATGACAAATGAACCTTTATAAAATAATAATTATTGCACTAAATTTTGAAAATTCAATTATTTTTTAGTGCAAAAAATTCATTTTAAATTTTTACATTTTTTTTCCAGAACTATTATACTGTATATAAGGGAATCTTTGTGCTAATATAAAATTAACGAATTTGGTATTCCAAAATAAAATCATGAAAATATTGCGCAGGTTATTGTCACCTTACTAGTAGAATTAGGGTAGAATTTTGGGCAGAATTGATGAAACTCTGCCCGTTAATATTTGTTAATGCTGGTGCAGTGAGATTTAGCAATGCCCTTATAAAAAAGTAAATACATAATTCCGTACTACCTTTAGCATTTTTAGATGGTATACCTTCATAAGGAATAAATCAATTCAAAATATAATGAAGAACTAGCAATGGCCATGATAATTTAAAAAATGTGTAAATTCCATGGAAATTTTAATACTTACACAATACAATATTTATTATTTTTTCAGGAGAAAAAAATTGATTATCCTTTACCCCGCAATTTGTATGCATTTCACATGTAAATCAAATCAACAGTAATTTTATTTTTAATTTAATAATATCTTTTTGTACAAAAGTATTTAAAATATATTTGGTAATGATTTAAATTAATATATTTTATTAGATTGTCATAGTATATTAATGAAATTTGGGAGTAAGGTATACAACTACAACTATACAAATGTGGATTAACATGTCGGATAAATAAATTAAACTGCTTAAAAAAACTGTAGGTATATTTTTCATAAAGAAAAAAATGAGAGACTAATAGCAAACACAATTTGCCCTGCAATATGAGCTAAAATATGATTCAAAAACGGAAACCTTTATATAAGATACACTAATAAGCGGCAGTGAGTTGAAAAGATGGAGCTACAAATAAAATGGAATAAAATTAGTTATATTCCTTCAATAAGCTAATACAAAATAAAGTCTCTTTTAAAGTATTCACCAGCATATTCTTTATATTCGGGGCTCAACGGGCCAGATGGGAAGGCATAGATTATATTGTTAACATTTCCATCTATAAATAATGGATTATTATAGTATAAGTCATTATATATATATATAAAACGATTATAATAAATAAAACTTACGTTCATCTGTGCGTGTTGGTAAATCCCAATTTGGTTGCCAATTCCCATCAACGATAAACTTGAATTCATTTTGTTTGTTAGGATCAATATCAACAACAGCAACAAAATCGTTAGTTGCCGGATTAAATTTCATTTTATGAGTGCCTAAAATAAAATAAATAAAAATATAAATTACGATAAATTAATTATTTCAATAAATCGTCACGTGATTAATAATTACCTTGCCAATCATCAAAATCGCCCGTGATTACAACTTCCTGTCCGCCATTCTTCCAGTAAAACTGTTTTATAGCCATATATTAGCATTCATTCATAAATGCCAGTTGGTATGCTAATATAATTTAGTTACCTCAAACGGTATAGTGCCCGATCCGCTAATATTATTATGTGACGTTTTCATTTCAAATGGGCAACCAGTTTCAAGTCGAGGAATTTCACGCTTTTCTTGAATTTCAGGTGTGGATTCGATACCATATTCTTCCGATTTATCGTTCTTATCATTAATTATTTCATCCTTAATTTCTTCCGGTTTCAATTCAGATGGAGTACCGGTAATGAGATTTGTTTTCATTTCTTCCTCAGCTATTTGTTGTTTATTAATATCGGATGGAGTGCCTTTAAGATCGGGTTCATTGATTAAGTCCTTTGGTTTAATTGCTCTATCTTTTGATGCGTCTAAAATATGAGTGTATTGCTTCTCTTTATTTGCTTTCTTAATAGTAACTTCAACTTTTGTTACTATGATCTCCTCTCCTTTGATGATGTATAATATTTTTAATAATATTGCCAATACTATTTTTAAGAACAAAGTGAAGAGTGTATCTAACAAATAACTTGGGTTTAAATTCATCCTTGTTATTATTCAATACGAATAATTATTAATAAGCGAAACGATTGTAAAAAAAGGTATCTTATTTCCTATTTTATTACAATAATTAATAATTTCGCTACTAAACGCTATTTATGGCTCATGTAGCGTATTTTTTTTTTTTTTTTTAAAAAAAAAAAAAAAAAAAAGAGAAAAAAAAAGTGAAAAAAAAGTGAAAACGTATTTATATATTTCTCACAGCTCCGGAAAATCTCAGATCCTGATTACGTTATTGGAAGAACATCATTAATTTTCAACACCAAAATCAAAATCAAATAATAATATAAATTATTTTTATGTAAGACACAGGTAACAATATAAAGAGTCAGAGGAATGAGAGAAAAAAAGAGAGAATTTAACCATAAATATTCACGAAATGATTTATTTATTTTTAATGGTGGTTCACAAATGATCAAATGAATTATAGAGTTCAGGAAATTTTTTTTTATTATGCCCACATATTCAATTTATCGTAATATCGCAACTCATTTCCATATATTAATATAACCCCACAGAATAAAAAAATTCACACGATAATATCGGAAGTAGATAAAAAATTTTTTTATTGAAAAAAAAAGATACAATAGATAATCAAATTCTCTGATACGTTGTTACGTTTTTTCAGTTAGGTAACGTAATACAAGTCTTTGTTCATAACAGGTTAATACCTTTCAAAAAAAAATTTAAGTTTGGGAGGAAGACAAAGAAGACATCCCAAATATAGTTTGATTAAATTGATTGATATCTTTAATATCGCGCCTATTGTTTAATTTGCACATAACCGATACATATAATCATTGACAGGCGCGATAAAAAATCTTTTTTTTTGCAAACGTGGTGGCTATTAATTAATATTACATCTGCAATGACAAATTTTCATCTAACTCGCGACTAGATCAAAAGTTTAAAATTTAATCCAGTTCAAAAAAAAAAAATTTCCTCAATTAGTCTTATTGTCTCCCGATACCGTCGATATTTCCGCAGTTATCGTCTGGCCCTCTATCGTTCCTAAAGGAAATGAAATTTTTTATTACGAATTCTAGACTGATTAAAATAAAATAACTTTTCAGTAAACCTTTGTGAACAAATTCCAAAGTTGTTGCAATTTCTCTCATATCTTTCTCTATTACTTCAGCCCAGTTTTGAACATCGCCTAATTCCTTTGTAAAAAAAAGATAAATCATGATAACATTCTTTAATATACATATTTTAGTTTAAATATAAAAACAAAAAGAAATAAACCTTTAAAGCTGAATTGAATCCTTCTAACATGCTCAACCATTGTTTTGTTTGTTTCGTGTATTTAACTGATTGAGAAGATAACTTTCTGGCTTCGGACTCGATTTCACGCTGAGTTTTGAGTATAGTCGAGACTCTTTAAGTTTTTTAAAAAATAACCGTATTTTTTAATAAAAAAATGTAAATATTAAAAATATCCATTATTATTCTCGATCAAATACAATAATATAAAGTATGAATAGTGGCATACATTTTATAGAAATTCATCAGTTTAACACTTTTAAGGGATCGTTATCAAACAGCGTGCGCACATACCTTTCGTTTAAAGTATCAGCTAAAGAATCAGTCACCTCACTAACAGCCTGTACAGCTTCCTTCCTAAGTTGTTCTGATTTAAAATACGCTGTAAGACTCCGTATAAATATGGCGTGGTAATATTACAAATACGCACCATTGTTACGCCTTACGGCTTGTTGCTTTTGATTATGCTCTCGTACAAGTCGTGAAAGCATACTAAGATTCACAGAACTGTAAATTTCAAATTAGGTACGTAAATAAATTTTTACGATCATTTTTATCGACCAATAAAAAATCGGTCACGTTACTAACATAAAAATGTATTTATTTTAAAAATATCTTTGGATATGATACGACAATTAAGAGAAAGCACTAGAATTTCTATGATTTAAGAAGTTAATTAAGTCATATTTTGTAGCAACACCTAAACACCATTTTCTTTCAGAATCAGTCACAACAGCAAAACTATGTTTTTCAAAAAATTTAGCTAATTCGGATAAAGGAGTATCGGGTGTAATTAACTGATAACGTTTTCTTTTAGAATTACCACTTTTATTTCCACCGAATGAAAACATCCATTTAGATATTGGTTCTTTTAATGTTGCTCCTCCTACTTCCAAATGACTTTGTAATGATGTTAAGGAAACATAGCCAATTAATTTTTTATGAGAATCAATCACCGGTAATTGTGAATATTCTCTATCTAACATTAATTCAATTGCCTGTGATATTGTTGCATTTGGTGAAATTGTCACTGCAGCTGGAAGTTGTAAATCTTCTACACTTGCCTTAAAAAAAAAGGAGATTATTTAACTTTGAAAATTTAGCTAATAAATATCAAAATTTTTTTTACATACAGCTCTATATTTTTCGATTTTTTGATACTTGAGTTTCCTAACCATCTCACCGTCCATCAAATCATTTTCTAAAAGCCATTCATCGGATAATAAAGTAGTACCATAATTTCGCGCAGTATCATTCAATACGCAAAGAATCCGCGTCGAATCCTCGTGTACCGTAGATCGATGTTTTACATATGATAAAGCAGCACTCACAACAGTTCCAGAAGAAGGTCCTATCATAATGAAATTTATACGGCCTCATTGTAAAAGTTTTTAAAAAAAAATTCCTTTTGTATGTACCTGCTAATAATCCATTTTTAATTAATTTTCTTGACATGGAAAAAGATTCTTGATCATTAACTTTAATCCAATGGTCAATCAAAGATTTATCCAGCAGAGGTGGCGTAAAATCGTTTCCAATATCTTCAACCTTCCGTTCCTAATAAGAACGCAAGATAATTTGTAAAAAAAGTTGTATCTTGTTGAACTCTTAATTGATAATTACCTTTATTGATGATGGATTAATAGGTATATTATCTTGTATTCTTGAATGTTGAGGCTCGACGGCAATTACCTGTTCGCGTGATGATAAAATAAATAGATTTCCTATAGCTTCCTAATATTCATGAAATGTACCTTCAATCCAGATATGCGAGATTTAAGATTCTTCGCAAGCCCAGTAATAGTAGCTAAAAATAGCCTTTTTTCTTTAATATATAATTTTTATGCAGGAAATAAATTAAACATTTATATACCTCCTGATTCCACACCAACTACAAGCACATCTAATTTTCCTTCAACTTGAGTATAAATTTCTTCGGCAGTTTCTTCAAAATGTACATTAAAATTACTTTGACTATTTAACTAAAAAAAAATTACTCCATCAAGTTAAAATTTTCTTCAAAAAAAAAGAAAGAAAAGAAAAGGTATTTTGTTATAATTTACCTCGTCAACTACAATTGAATTTGTAATTTCACCTGATAATTTTTTAGCTAAACTAAAATTACTTTCGGGAGCATCATGATGAACTTCACTTTGTGTTCTTATAATTTCGGTACCCAATGCTTTTAAAACATGAATTCGATCTATTGTTGTACGTTCTGGTACAAGAACTATCGTTTTGTAACCCTTTTTATGAGCTAACATTGCAATACTAACACCTATTTTTAATTAATTTTAATCATAAATATTTATCAACTCAATCAGGTAAATAGTAACTCAAGTGCTATCAATATAATTAACATACCCAAATTTCCGCTCGTAGGTATTAATAAAGTTGTACCAGCTTTAACTTTATTTTCCTTTTCGACATCTTACAAAGAAAAAAAAAATCATTTATTTGATAGATTCTAATATGTTGAATATTATTAAAAATGAATATACCTTCTAATATCCTTTTAGCAACTCTATCTTTAATACTTCCAGATAATGGGTTTAAATATTCTAATTTAGCCAATAATTCAATGTTTGATAATTCAAACGAAGGAGCTAATATTGATATTGAGTTTATTCGAACTATTGGTGTGTTACCAATTGTCGAAGTTATATCATCAAATATCGGTGGTGGAGGCGAATTTGACATTTAAATAGATAATTCGAATCAAAAGATAGCTAAGTGATTATCTTCATTGCTGCGGACGACACTGTCACATTTAATGCACCACAAATAATGCAAAGTTCCAAAACTGGTATTTGAAGTTAATTAAACATCGCTGCGGAGCAACAGGAGTATTAACTTTTCGTGAAAATGAAATTTTTATTCAAAAACACGTTTATCGCGTTCTTTATATTTTATCTGTGGCTTATTAAACAAACTAAAGCAAATATTGAAAAAGAAGTTTTTACTTCTAACGTTGTAAAGATTTCTGAAAATTTTTACGCAGAAATTTTAGAATGGAGTGAACAAGAAGGTTTAGTGGTGGGTCTTTTTATATAATTTAATAATGTAAGGAATTAATAATAAAATATCTTTAAATTCTCACTTTAAAGACTCTAACGCCTCCGTATACTATCCAACGTTATGAACGAATAGTACCTTTCATTAATGCTGACGAAATTACCCAAAATAAGACAGGACAAAAAGAAAAATGGTATATTCTTGATGGTTTAGAAGAAGGAAATACATATGAAACAAGAGTATCTTATGCAGCGACGGTAAGCCGATTTGTATTCATGATAAGCATTGTAAACGAAAGTTTATTGATAAATAATTAATATTAAAGTCGCCAACAACGTTCGTGTTGGAAATAATGGGTTTCGAGGAAGCATTAAATATTTTTAAAAAGAGACAAAATTTGGAAATTACTCAGTCGGTAAGTGACATCATATAATTAATTTATTATAGTAATTATAGTAGTTTTTATATAAATTATTAATAATTACTTTACTCGTCCTTCGTAAGAATTCTCAACAAATTATTACTACAAAAAAATTGCTCCGCGTGAGCGCTAAATACGAAGGAGTGTCCAATATTCCAGGAAGAGAATTTCGTCCAATAATATATAATATCGGTAATTAATTGTCTAACTTTTGGGCTTTTTATATCTTAATATTACATAAAAATTTATATTGAATTCATACTTCTTTACAGTACTGGAAACTTTAACTTATGGAGTTCCGCGCGTTGCGTTCAAATTAATTCTAATGTTGGCGTTAATTTTAGGAATTGGTTATTTTATATGTGTTCCAATGTTTTATTCATCTTTGCAAAAATTAATAGAAGTCGCACAAATAAATAGAGGGGAATTAAACCGAGAAAAACGTGAATAGAAATAATGCGATTCGCGTAAATTATTTAAAAATAGCACATGATGATCGACGGACTATATTGTAGATCTACAGATATAATTCCATAATTTCGATGTTTTACTACTTTACTACTTTAATACTTTAAGGAAATGTTTTTGTTGTTATTATTTATTATTTATTATAAATTTTTGGAATAATGAATAAACAGAGATGCATAGAGAAATATATATATATTGAGAATTAAAATTTAATAAACGCGTAATCATATTTTTATTTAATCAACGCGTAGTTCATATGATTGATATCTCGTTATTTAAGTTTCTAGCAATCTTCGACGCAAGATTTTTTCCTATGAATACTATATATGTGCGAATAAAATGGAAAAAGTTTGGCCTGCACTGAGAGTCAATTTTTTTCCACCTTTAATGGACACATTCATTACTACTCTAATAAAACTCAAGCCTACAAATGTATATTTCGAGGACCAGACGCGTCATTTAAATTGGCACAAATTTTTAATAATGAAAATTGGGGTACCAAATTTTATGGAGAAAATGAAACAACTTTGTCTGTAAGAGAATTTATAAGTAGGATTTTTGACAGAGCTTTTTTTTATACGATGGGAGTGAAAGGAGTGAATACATTGGTTTTCAGTATGTGAACAAGGATGGAGGAGCATAAAGAGATTAAAGAAAATGCTATCAACGGCTCAGAAACTTTAAATTCATTTCTTCGAATATACTAACTTACTAAGATAATTATTTAAAATCATAACCTTGAGCACCTTGAGCAAGATTATACAAATAAAATTTAAATAACCAATATTTTATTTATTTATAAAGATATCAATTGAAAAAAGTATAATAAATTGACACAATTACTTTTATTCTATTGCTTTTTTTTTTTATTTTGTTTGTTACAAGTCAATAAGCAATAATTACACTAGGTTTTTTTTTTGTATTTATATTAATATGAAAACCCATTTTATTAGTTTTAAAACAACTCCTTACGATTTTTTGGTTGGGGAAATTTTTACAATATAAGAGTCATATAATGGTCATTAAAGATGAAGCGGGAATTTTTTTTTCATCTTTTATTTTACTTCTTAGATGCTTTAATGGCTGCCTTAGTAGTCTTTCCTGACTTATCAACTTTCTCGACGGACTATTAATAAATAAAATGAAATATTTTGATTAACAATGTTTTGAAATGTTTTTGCAAACATAACTTAAATTTTTTTTAATACAAACCTTGATAACACCAACAGCGACAGTCTGTCTCATATCTCTTACAGCGAAACGACCTAAAGGAGGATAATCAGAGAAAGCCTCAACACACATCGGTTTGGATGGAATCATTTTAACGATAGCGGCATCTCCAGACTTAACAAATTTGGGATTGTCTTCAAGTTTTTTGCCGGAACGACGATCAATTTTTTCTTGCAATTCAGCGAATTTACAAGCAATATGAGCGGTATGGCAATCCAATACAGGGGCATAACCAGCACCGATTTGACCAGGATGGTTAAGAACGATAACTTGAGCTTGGAAGGAAGCAGCTTCCTTGGCTGGGTCATTCTTGGAATCGGAGCAGACGTAACCTCGACGAATTTCTTTGACTGATACGTTCTTGACATTAAAACCGACATTGTCCCCAGGTACACCTTCAACTAATTGTTCGTGGTGCATTTCAACTGATTTTACTTCAGTGGTGAGACCAACAGGGGCGAAGGTTACAACCATACCGGCCTTAATAATACCGGTTTCAACACGACCTACTGGCACGGTACCAATACCGCCAATCTTGTAGACGTCTTGAAGTGGAAGACGAAGGGGTTTATCGGTAGGTCGAGATGGAGGTTCAATTGAGTCAATGGCTTCCAAAAGCGTTTTGCCCTTAACTTTGGCACCACCTTTAATTTCTTTTTCCCATCCTTTGAACCAGGTCATATTTGAAGATTCTTCCAACATGTTATCACCGTGCCAGCCGGATATTGGGACGAAAGCAACAGTCTTTGGATTATATCCAACACGTTTAATAAAGCCTGATACTTCTTTGACAATTTCATTAAAACGTTCTTCCGACCAATTGGTTGTGTCCATCTTGTTTACGGCGACAATAAGTTGTTTTACACCAAGAGTATATGCCAAAAGAGCATGTTCACGAGTTTGACCGTCTTTGGAGATACCAGCTTCAAATTCACCAGTACCGGCGGCAATGATCAAAATAGCACAATCAGCCTAATTTGATTATAGTTTGGGAAAGGTAATGTATGTTAATGTAATGGACACAATTTAAAACTTAGTGATCGATATGAAAAATGTCATTTACCTGAGAGGTACCAGTAATCATGTTTTTGATAAAATCACGATGTCCTGGAGCATCAATGACAGTAACATAATATTTTGGAGTCTCGAACTTCCAGAGAGCGATATCAATGGTGATACCACGTTCACGTTCGGCTTTTAGTTTATCCAAAACCCAAGCATATTTAAATGAACCTTTTCCAAGTTCTGCGGCTTCTTTTCTATATTAAGTAAATCATACAAAAAAAAATTTTTTTCTTTTAGGGATTGATTCGTCACAAATTCCAAAAGATTGAATAAAAATACTTACTCAAATTTCTCTATTGTACGTTTATCAATACCCTGCGATAAGAATTTACCGTGTAGAATATGATAAATTTCTTGATCAAATAATTAAATATCAATGGAAATTTTAAAAACGTTCAAATAATCATACCCCGCATTTGTAGATAAGATGTCCGGTTGTTGTGGACTTTCCAGAATCGACGTGACCAATGACGACAACGTTAACGTGAGTCTTTTCTTTACCCATTTTACTGGAGATGAAAAACAGAAGGTATAAAAAATGTTGAGCACAACAAATAACTAAAGATTAATATTTACTTTTACGGTAAGTGCAACGTAGTGTTCTATTTCGTAGTTAGTACTATTAAGAGGTTGTTAAAGCTTCTTTTAAAAAAAACTATGAACTTAATAAATTATAAATTTATTTACTGCGGCAGCTATCACTTTTCCAGATAAAAAAAAAAAATTTTTTTTTTCCAGATTTTTTTTTTTTTTTTTGTATCAATCATTCTCAAATTTTTCGTGATAAAAATGTTACCAACTCAACGGATGGTTGTTCTCAGATATGGATGGAAACAAAAATTATTACTTACATTATAAAAGTATAAGCATAAAATCAATAAAAAAAAAAAAATTCGTGAGGAGTCGTAGGGAGGGGAGGAAGATAAAAGATTCTAAGCCGACCCTAATATATATCTACCCTAAGTAACTCCCCAAATTTCAGATCTTTGGTCGGATCAGTGAGATCTTATAATATCAATAATACCCTTTTTGTGACCTTTTTTTTCGCAATTAGGGACTTTTTCTAATAGAGTTCAACAAATCCAATTGGATTATTAGACTGCGGTTACAAGTAAAAACTATTGACAAAATATTAGTCATGATTTTGAAAAAAGGGTTCTTTTCTAGTATTGTTCAACGTCAGGCGCAGAAAAAAATACTTCTGTATTACAAATTCAAACCAAATACATATTAAGATCACCAAAAGATAAATCGGAGTTGGGCCGGAGAAAAAATTGGTTTACTTAATTTGTTAAAAAAGGAAGTACTTTAAAATATAACTGTTAAGGTCGTTTAAAATTTAGCTTTTTGCGCAGAACGAATAATACAAGTTTACCATGGTCATAATAAACAATTTGATAATCTCCACATTGACAAATACTATTAGTAAATTTTTTCTCTTTATTCAAGTATCATTCGACAAGAATTTAAAATCCATGAGTATCAACAGGAAACACTAAACTATTCATTTCTGTTAATTTATTTGGTAACTTTTGATTATGGGCAAATTTCTTTTTAATTCTCTTCAAATCTTTATGAATACTATAATCATATAAAGCTTGAGTTGTTAAATGAAGGAGATGACCGAAGAGATCCATTTCACGATTTCCTTTCTCAAAAGGGGTTAAAACCCATTGTGATATTTCTGTTGTTTTTGAAATTGGCCGACCAATACCCAATCTAAACCTAGAATTTTTAAATGTTAATATTATTAATTATATTAAAATCCTTTCAAATTTTGATTTATACCTAATAAATTCTGTCCCAATTACTGATACAATGTTTTCTAATCCCTTATGACCTTTCATGGCTGACAAATCACCACCACCTTTTAATATTAAAGATATAAAGTAAATTTTGTGAATTACGATCGATAAGCAATTCGATAACATTAAATTTTAGATCACAAACTTTGAATCATTAATGTTCCTGGTAAAGTATTTAAATCATCGGCCGCGACTATAAGTTTTTTAGTGTCATTAACTCCAAAATGTTGTAAAACTTTTTGCACGGCATAGCCTGACTCGTTCATGGCCGTCAATGGTTTTATCAGAATAATTCTGAACGAATTCTATTTATAAAAAAACAATTAGAATAGGATACTTTTTTTACATTATTTTTTTTTTTCAAATCACATACTGTGATGGAGCCGTCTTCATTTGTAGAGGTAAACAATGTATCCCGTACATCAGCTATATCAATCAATGAATATTAATTATCTTTAAGTAATTCCCTAAAATAGAAAATTCAAAATTAACTGCGTATAATAAAAAATTTACCAGATAGATCTAATCGCCGATAAAATTTAGGAAGATCCCTAGCAGCTTGTCCTTGAGCAAGTGATATTGCATTTGCCAGATAGTCAATAAAAATATATCCAGCTAAAGAAATAAGCAAGTGGACCAAAAACGTTAGATTCGATTAATTAGTCGACTTAACTGAAAAATAAGTATTACTAACTTGCAAACATTCAAGGAATACTTGAAACACAACCATTATGACGTGTTGTAGCGTATTCAGGTTCTGGGTTTCCAAGACCCACAACGACGAGGTCAATCGGTCTGGACATTTTTTTTTTTTTTGCTGAAAAGTATTATTTTTTACTTATAAAGACCAATCGTAAAATTTAATTTGTGTGACCATTATACATTACTATATAAGGATTACTTAATCATCTGACCTGATTAAGAGTAATTTAGATAATATTGACTCGTTCTTATATAATTTTTAACAAACACTACAAAAAAAATGACACATCATTTTAAGAATTATTAGTTCACGTTTAAAATACCCCAAAAGGAAATGGTAAATGGGCTAGTGTATAAATATTTTTATATTCTTTATTCTTTATTCTATAACTTTATCTATAAATCTATGATATCATTTTTAAATATCTTTCCAAAAAGAATTTTTTTTATCTTATAATTGTATTTCACAATTCTATTGTATTTTTTATGATTATCAATCATATATATTCATATTGATGTAAAAAGCGAGCGGCATAAAACGGTCAATAATAGGGCTGTTTTGGTAGTCACTATGACTATTGTTAATGATACTGTAAATCTAAACCAGTCATTTTGTGATATGAATGATAATTTTGGTAATTTGAGGAAACATTTGTTGTTACATGAGTGAAATCTGGGCTGAGAACACAGTAAAGAACGCCAGTTGTGTGATATCAGAATATTTTTAAACAACTCCTTTTTAAAATAGCATATGCGGATTTTACTCAAACGCCACCAATCATATAATATGATGGACCGTGATGAAAATGAGCAAACAAGTAAATACAAAAAAATTTTTAATGCAAAAAAAAAAAAAATTTTTTTTTTTCCGTGGGTTCTTTTTACTTCAATACAAACCAGATTTTTTTCTGAATTTCCCCTAAAATTTTTATCTAGTTAATAGTTTTTCTTCTCAATCTAAAGCTACTAGGGAATTTGTCAAGCATAGATTTAGGATAGATACTCTTTATCCTTTTAACTATACTGATCAAACTTCTCGTCTTTACCCAATCTGTGCCACCAAGTTGAAATCCCGCAGCTTCCTCTGCAACTGCTATGTTTGACCCTGGCTAGCTTTTGAGAACTTTTTCGTTCGAGCCAGCCGCTTGCTTAGTCGTCGCGTTTTTTTCCTTCCCCGCCTAGGTTGTCATCTTTTTTAACCTGTAGATTATTTAATTACCCTTGAACTTGTATAGAGTTAATATATTATTATTTTATTTGAGGTGAGTCATTTGCATCTAGTAAAAAAATTTTTTTTTTTGCTTGCAAGCTTTTTTATATTTTCAAAGCCGGTGCAAAGCTTTTGTTTTTACCCATTTTATAAGTCGCCTACGGCGAATTGGACAAGCGATATATAAATATATATAATATAAAAAATCATAGTAAGCATAAGGGTTCCTTTTGGGTATTTCCTATGAATCAGAGAATTCGAGGAAGAACAAATTTTGTTAAATTATTAATTTTGTAATAAATAGATTGTTAAACAGTCATTCGCTTATCTACCATCCTTCATTGAAATATGTGAACGATTACTTATATCCAGAGAAAAAGAAGTACGATTCATTCAACTTATCACCTTCGGTCGTATTCAAGATTTACATAGACATATCACTCGATTTTCGGATTTAACATTCAAAGAAAGCCAAACTACAAAAGAATAAAAGAAATATTTTCAGCCTCATGCCAGCAATGCGAAGTAATCGAGGTTCCGGCCCAATTTTAGCCGGACAACGGTCACCCATTAATCCTCCAACACTCATCGAGTACAATCATCTTCGTTTCTTGATCGCAGACGCTCCATCAAACAATAACCTAAGCTTGTATATGCAGGTAAAGACGAAAAATATAGTTATTATTAATTTATTTTCATTGCCCTTAATGCTTGAGCATTTTTTAGGAATTTGAACGATACAACGTAACTGATGTTGTCCGTGTTTGCGATCCTACTTATAACACCGATCCTCTTTTAGCTCGTGGAATCAAAGTTCATGTAAATATAATTCATTAAATTTACCTATTTACATTAGTGATTTACTAATTTAAATCGTTATTAGGACTGGGTGTTTGGTGATGGCGATGCTCCACCATCCCAAATAGTAAATGAATGGCTTGATCTTGTTCAAACTCGATTCTGTTGCAATGACGATGATGATAGGCCTGCAATCGCTTGCCATTGTGTAGCTGGACTTGGACGGTAAGAAATGTATAAATTTCCAAATTTTTATGGTTAAACAGCATTATAACCCTACTGGATCTTTTTTTCCCTTAGTGCTCCTGTACTAGTAGCGATTGCATTGATTGAGTCTGGTATGTCCCCTCTCGACAGTGTGGCATTTATTCGCCAACGACGTAGAGGTGCTATTAATAACAGACAACTCAAGTATATTGAAAATTACAGAAGAAGAACCAAGTCTGCCAAATGTGTTATATGTTGACTCCATGATCCTTCCATATTATTATTTGAATTTTTTTCTTTTTTCTTTAAAGATTTTAGTATTTTGTATTTGACAACGGGTTGGGGTTCCAAACAAAATTGTATAAGTAGTAGATTCCAGTATATTAATACTGATCGGAAAGGCGGTCGGAAGGAAAAATTTAGACGGGGAAAGAAGAAAATTCGTGGTGTTCTATCATCATTTTGCTTACAATCACATATCCTCTATTGCCTATCCCGATCACCTAATTCATCTATTGATACCACCGCCCTTGTCTATAAAAGTCTTTTACATTCATTTCTTTATTATATTCCTTGTTATTTTTATAGAAGTTCTTATGAATTAAGAATATTTTATCCTAGTTTTGTAGTTCATTTTGATAATGGTTAAAAAAAAAAAAAAAAAAAAAATGAATTACAAGATATATCTAAAATCGCGTGTAAAATTTTTGCTGTTATTATCGCATTTTTAATATTATTTTTTTATTTATTATTTTTTACTAAAAATAGTAGTGATTTAATAAAGGAATATTTTTTTATATATAATATAAGAGTGGTTAGACACGTGTATCAAATTGAACTTTTGTGATACATCCAAATCTAGTTCAAAGATTTGAAAACAAACTCGGCATTCAAAACTAGTTATTCATTTAATACTATAATAAATTATAATGGCAGGTGCTAAAGGTCCTCATGGTTTTCCTCTGCCCGGAAGAGCACATGTATTTATATCCAAGTTGTTTGGCGGTAGCATGGCATTCTGTAAGGCATTCTTTTTTTGACTTGAGGATTTTCGATTAAAATATATAATTTTAAATAAAATATTCTGCTTTGGGCTGTTTAGGGATGTTATATCGTGGTAAAAAAGAATTACCCGTAGTTCTGGTTTGTGAACATTTTATTAAAACATTAATATCTCGTGAAAGTTGAACGAAACTATGATTAATCATTTAAAACTATATAGGGTTTAAGGCATCCTTGGGAACATCATGGTCATGAAAATGGTCATAATGGGCACCATTCTGAGGCTCATCATTGATTTGTTAACAATAATAGTAATATATAGAAAACAATTAGCAGAAACAATCATGAAACTAAAGTTCAAAAAAATTTTTTAATTTTTGAAAGTTGCATAAAATTTACACTCATTTTTATTATTATTATTTTTACAATTTACCGATTTTCTTATCATAAAAAAGCGATGCTTTGCAGTATTTTTTTTTGTAACTTGTTAATAAAAAATTTTTTTGTTATCACGGATCAATTGATTGAAAAAAGGTATACAAGATTCAATGAAAAAGTCAGGTGAAGGAAGATTTTAAAGAAGCACGTTAATAAAATGAAATGTCAAAGATCAAAAAGATCAAAAATATATATATATTGAGAGAGAAATTCCACTAATCTCCTCGTGTAATAATTTTTAATCAACTTCCTGAGATCTAACACGAGCTTTAGCATTAGTAACTCTAATATTTAATTGCTGAGCCCTATCAATAATCGCAATTCTATTCCTTGAACTAACATTATGAGCAATTTCAGCAGCATATGTTTTGTTATGCATAAGTAATAATTCTAATTCTCTAGTATTAGATACAAGAAATTTTTTAAATCCATTAGGCATTAAATGGCGAGTTTTCTTGTTTGAACCATAGCCAATTTTTGGCATTAGAAATTGACCTTTAAATCTACGTCGAACTCGATTGTCAATACCCTTAGGTTTTCTCCATGCTTCCTATTTTCATCATAATTAAAAAAAAAACGTGAATAAAGATTCTTTAATAAATTTTAAAAACAATCTTTTATAAAATTTACCTTTACAGATTTGTATCGATCTGATTGATGCCTAATAAAAGGCTTAATGCGTTTCTTGACAATCTTGACTTTCTTAACAGGATTAACCATTTTTGCTATAAAGAGAAAAGAAAAAAATTTTTAAAATATTCAAACTTTATTCTACATAATTTTTTTTCATTGATTTAATAATAATCAATCAATCAGAAGTTATATAAGATTGAAATAGTAAACTTTAACCAAATATTTGACAATTCTCAATTCTATATTTATTGTCTTAAACAGAAGTAAATGAAAAACTTCCAAAAAAAAAAAATAATTTCATGTGACTAATTATATTAATTCTTTAAAATGTAAAACAACCCACCTAGAAAAACGGATGGAAAATCAAAGAGGAGGAAACAAAAAAAAAATTAGGAAATATTTTTATACTTGATTTACGTCAATAAATCTGATCATAATTCCGGCCTGTGTGGAAAAAATTTTTTTTTTGTGGCTTGTGAGACTAATCATGTGATAATCCAATTTTGTAACATCGAAACAATTCGAAAATGAAATTACTTGAAACTTTTGGTTTTCATCTTAAAGGTTATTTATCACTTTATGGATCCGACTGCAAGGAAAGCTGTCAACTTGAACGTTTTGCGTCGCCATGACCAAAATATTGTTGAAATAATTGATAGTTCAAGTTATGTTGTTGTATACAAATTTGACCAAGGTGCTTGGGTATGCTTGAATTTTACACGTTATGAATTAGACGCGCGTCGAAGTATTTTGAAGCATAGTAATTATGGTAATGTATTTTTGTTTTCATAGACAAAGAAGGGCGTAGAGGGAACATTGTTCGTGTTCAAAAGGTATGTCTTTGACTATGTTTCTTTACCTTTATTGATATAAAAAAATTAATTATTTTATTCAAATAGATGTGTACAACCTGTGTATGGATTTATAGTGATGAATCGGTTAGGTATCGATAACTTCATGGCACCATTGACAGACGGTATGGAGCTAGAATTCAAAGACGAATATATTATATATCGTACTACAGACGATGGTATCGTTGATGACTTTTTTGAAGTTCGCCAATATTTTGTTATGTGAAGAACCCACAAATAGTAGCCGGATTATGGTAATTGAGTATTGCTTTGGATAGTAGATAATATCCATGGCATTTGGGTATTTGAAACAAAGGATCGGGAACGAATAGGAAAAACTTTGTTGGAGTAAGTAAATTGTTAATTTATTATTTTTGATTACGTAAAGAAATATAAAACTTATTATTTATTTTTTATTTGGGATTTAGATGTCGCGAATCTTCAAAAACTGCTGTTACACCACCACAATTAACTTTACAACCACCTTACTACTCCTCAAACACTCCGACCTCATCCAAAGGAACATCTTCGAGTCTTTATGGAAGGCCAATTCAAATCGGGGACCTTCTCCAACAAGCAGAAATTAACCAACCTACCACTTCTAATAACAGTAGAAGTTCAACTCCTGCTTATCATGATACTCTACAATATGAAACTCCGAAAAAAGACATATTAGGAGAATTATTCCAAAAAGCATCTAGTATTGATCCACTTCCTGTAGTAAATATACTTAAATTTAACCTTTGAAAAAATGTTATTAGTTTTGAAAGTATTGATTTATGAATAACTGATATCACAAAATTTCCATTTTTTTTCCTATATTATAATAGAATCCACCCGTTACATCTAGTAATAATCATACCCTTTTAGATGGAAAGATGCTTTTAGACATGCTTCGTCCAAGTAATACAGCTACTGCTTCTCCAAATAATTATCCTTTTAACTCACATACACCACCACAGAGGTCATTATCCGTCAATGACACTAGACCTAACAACAAATTATTCCAAAGTCGAAATATAAATACACCTTCAATTATTCAAGAACACATTACAACTTCAAATGCCTCATTTGGGATGGAAAATCCTCAGTTGTTACGAAAACAAGCGGTGGACGCTTCTATCTCTTCTCTCACAGCTCTTGAAGGAATCAACCATAAAAGAATATTGACTAAATCAGAATTTACAGAACAATACTTACGATTAATTCAGGTGCGTCATCAATAAAATTGAAGTTTCTTATTACTAGCTAATCGACTTACTAACTTTAATATATATAAAGTCTGACCCATCTTTTATGGACATTCTCTACGAGAATTATGTGGTCAAAGCACAAAATATGTTATAATTATATAAAATAAATTATAATTTTATATTATTTAAATTTTGCTTTAACCCGTATTTTATTTATTTTTTCTCTTAATTGTAGTTATTATTTAATTAATATGTTTACTTTTTTTTTTACTTTTTTTTATTATTTATTTATTTTATTTATTTATTTTATTTATTTATTTATTTATTTTTCTGATTAAAAAATTTATATAATAAATAAAAGTTTAACATACGATTTGATTCAATAAATTTTTGTTTTCACTTGCAAAATAATTCTTTATTCTGAAAGACACAATTCTTCACTTTTTATTCAAATCAAATAAAAATCTTTCAAGACGTAAATATACCAAAGACAAAAGGTGAAGGAAAAGAACAAGAAAAAAAAAAAAAAAAAAAAAAAAAAAAAAAAAAAAAAAAAAA